CCACAATTGTTCCTCACCTGTGGAGATAAGAGCAAAACCCCTTCCCCAACGCAGCACATCTCCTGGTTTCCATTGTGAGGTCAGCACATCCTTGAAATAAACTGGTTGATTTAGTTCAGTAGACTTTTCCATTATCCAATGTCTTTCTGCAGCCGTTGTCCCCTTCTCATTAGCGTTAAGAAAATTCAAGGTTAACAAAGCATTATGTAACCTATTTCTGGGGGTGTTTTCCACCCCTTTCTGTTTATTCAACATATCTTTTATAGTTCGATTTGATCTTTCTATGACTGCTTGACCTGTAGGATTGTATGGTATACCTGTAACATGCTTGATATTGTAATAGTCAAAAAACCGTTTCATTTTCCTAGAGGCATAAGCAGGACCATTGTCCGTCTTTATTTGTGTAGGTATACCCATGATAGCCATGACTTCTAATAAATGAGTGATTACTGAATCAGCTTTTTCTGAACTTAAAGCAGTTGCCCACTGAAAGCCTGAATAAGTGTCAATGGTGTGGTGAACATACTTCAATTTGCCAAATTCTGCAAAGTGGAACACATCCATCTGCCAGATTTCATTCCTATGGGTGCCCTTTGGATTAGCCCCTGCTGGCAGTGGCGTTTGGTTATAGAAAGAGCAAGTAGGGCATTTCTTTACAATCTCCTTAGCCTGTTGCCATGTAATAGAAAACTCTTTCTTCAAACCCTTGCTATTAACATGATGTTTTTTATGAAATTCAGAGGCTTGTAGCACACTACCAATCAATAACTGATCAATGTCTGCATTACCTTGTGCTAGAGGACCTGGCAGACCCGTATGGGATCGGATGTGTGTTATGTACATAGGGCAGAGCCTGTTCCTGATCAAATCTTGAACCTGGATAAACAATGAGGTTAGTTCTGTATCATCAGGTATAAATTCAGCAGTTTCAATATGTAAAATAACTCTTTCTGCGTATTGCGAATCAGTAACTATATTAATAGGTTCTCTAAAATCCCTTAGCACCATAAGAATGGCATATAATTCTGCCTTCTGGACAGAATCATAAGGACTTTGTTCCACCTTACCCAAGTCTTCCGATTTGTAACCTGCCTTCCCTGTTTTATTGGCATCAGTATAGAATGTACGGGCTCCAGTTATTGGAGCATCACGGACGATTCGAGGAAGGATCCATGAAGTTCTCTTTATGAAGTTAAGCCTCTTGCTTTTTGGATAATTGTTATTAATATCTCCCAAAAAACTAGCACAAGCTCTTTGCCATGGTTCATTATCTTCCCATAATTTCTTTAGTTCATCAGCAGTGAAAGGCACTATAATTTCTGCTGGGTCTATGCCTGCTAATTGACGAAGTCTCAGCTTTCCTTTTATAATTAACTCGGCGACTTTTTCCACATAAGTTTTCAGTTTTTTACTTGGTTTATGTGGTAAAAAGATCCATTCCAAGATAATATCATCTCTCTGCATTAAAATTCCTGTAGGAGAAATTTTGGATGGTAATATGACGAGAATACAATCGAGCTCTGGATTCACCCTGTCCACATGTGCCTGTTGTAATTTTTCCTCAATTATTGTCAGTTCCTTTTCTGCTTCAGCTGTTAATTCTCTGGGACTGTTTAAGTCTTTATCACCTTCCAAGGTTTTGTTCAAATGAATTATTAGATCAGGTGTTATCCCAACAGCTGGTCGTAGACTGGAAATGTCTCCTAACAGTCTTTGAAAGTCATTAAGAGTCCGTAAGCGATCTCTCCTAATTTGTGCCTTTTGTGTCTTAATTTTTTGCAAACCTATTTTATAACCTAAATAATTAACAGAATCTCCCTTCTGTATCTTCTCAGGAGCAATTTGCAATCCCCATTTAGGTAAAAGTATCTTTATTTCTTCAAACAGTCTGTTCAAGGTATCCATGTTTGAATCGGATAACAAGATGTCGTCCATGTAGTGGTATATTATAGATTTGGGAAATTTCTTGCGTATTATTTGCAATGGTTGGTTCACAAAATATTGGCACAAGGAGGGGCTATTTAACATACCCTGGGGGAGGACGGCCCAGTGGTACCTCTTGGAAGGTTGAGAATTGTTGTAAGTAGGCACCGTGAAGGCAAATTTTTCTCTATCTTCTTTTTGTAAAGGTATGGTGAAAAAACAATCCTTTAAATCAATAACTATAAGAGGCCATCCTTTTGGTAATAAAGAGGGCAAAGGGATTCCAGATTGCAGAGGACCCATAGGTTGAATAACCTTGTTGATAGCTCTGAGATCTGTCACCATTCTCCATTTACCTGATTTTTTCTTAACCACAAATACAGGAGAATTCCAAGGGCTGGTAGATTCTTCTATATGTCCAGCATCTAATTGCTCTTGTACCAGCTGTTCTAAAGCCTGTAACTTTTCCTCAGCTAGAGGCCATTGCTTTGTCCATATTGGTTTCTCAGTCAACCATTTTAGAGGCAAGGCTGTTGGTATCTCTGAAGGGGCTTCAATTACTTGTTCTTGTATGGCCCGAATGGCCGGTTTTCTCCGTTTGTAATATCTTTTAATATTATTCTCAGAAATATAGGCTCTAGAAGTAGCAGGAATGTTAATTTGGGTATTCCATTGTTGTAATAGGTCACGACCCCATAAATTCATTGCAATATTGGCTACATATGGCCTTAATTTTCCTATTTGTCCCTCAGGCCCTATACATTCAACCCATCTTGTGCTCTGTCTTACTCGAGATAGGGTTCCAATTCCCAGGAGCTGAACATTTACATTCTGAAGAGGCCAATACGGATGCCAAGATTCTGGGGTAATGATACTTACATCAGCACCTGTGTCCAGCAGGCCAGTAATAAAAATGCCATTTACACACACTCTCAGCTTAGGTCTTTGATCATTTATAGAAGTTTGCCAAAACACACGTAACTCATCTTTCTGCTCATTATCGTTTGTAACAGTAGGCATGAGGTTTCCTAATTGTCCTGACGAGGCACGTTCTCTGCAGAAACTGGAAATGACTGAACCATGTTTGCCATGGGGGCCTGTGAGGCCCCCCCTCTCACGTTTCCCGTCTGTATCAGGTTGCCTTGTCTATCTCTTGTAGACCTGCATTCATTCGTCCAATGTCTACCTTTTCCACATCTTCTACATAAACCTGAAGGCTGAGTCCTCCTATTTCTGTTATTTCTAGAAGATGCATTATTATTATTTCTGAAGATCCGTTGTTTACAATTCCTTTTCATATGACCCATTTTGCCACAATTAAAACATTTGGTATTCTGGTGTCTCCTTTTACCATTGGAAATTGCTTCTTCTACCCATGCTTCAGTGCCATAATCAAATGTATCAACATCCAGTGTATGCAAGACCCATTCTTCCAAGGGTGCTGATCTGAACCTTAAAGGCCCCAAAATCTTTTTGCATTCCACATTTGCATTTTCATAAGCCAAAGACTCAATCATTATACGTCTTGCGTCAGGGTCAGGTATCCCTATTTGCACAGCCTTAGTAAGTCTTTGTAAAAAATCACTAAAAGGTTCTCTCAGACCTTGTTTAATTGTGACAAATGATTCCATTCTCTGTCCTGGGTCTTGTACCCTGTCCCAAGCCCTTAAGGCTGCTGTAGTGCATATGGAGAGTGTGTTTTCGTCCAAATTAGCTTGTTCCTGAGGGTCAGAAAAGCGTCCTTCACCTAGAATTTTATCTAGGGAGATGTCACTTCCCTTCGCCTTTTCTTGCTGTTCTAAAAGTCTAGCCTCTTGCCTGAACAAGCATTTCCATTTTAAGTGCGGCCCACTCTCAAGGACTGCAGAGCTCAGCTGGAGCCAGTCCAATGGCGTAGCTCTGCTTGTGGATGCCCAAGACTTTAGCATCTCTTTAACAAAAGAGGAATGCATCCCGAAAGTCATGACAGCCTGTTTAATTTCTTTGAGATCATTCATACGGACATGCTCCCATGTATCTTCCTTAATGACCCTAGGGTTTCTGGAACCAATCACCTTCTCTGTTGTTATTACTGGAAAGGCAGGTAGAGCTGTAGGTAGAGATTTGTGGAAATTGTCCCGGAGGGATTTACCCACAGATGTAGTTAAAATTTGCCTTTCTACCGTTTGTTCTTCTTCATCAGAATTTAGAAATTCCTCAATCTTTTCAATTCTATTCACCATTGCCTTCTGCAATGTCTGTATCTCCTGTCCAGAATTATGTTCCAAAGCCTTCATTGAGGATTCTAAAGTATGAAGTTTGTCCATTAGAGATAAGTTCTCATCTTTGGACATAATTTTTATGGCATAAACCGTGCCTTCTTGTATTGACAATCTTTCTGCCAATCTGTCATAAGCTTTAGACAAAATCCGATAGTCACATTCAGCAGTTTTGATTCTCTCAGTTACTATTTCAGTTCCTACAGAAAGGGACTGAAGCTTACAACCCAAATCAGCTGTTCCCTCTTCCATAGTAATGAGTTTCTCCTTAATATCAGCCACTAATGTTTCAGTTCCTACAGAAAGGGACTGGAGCTTACGATCCAAATCAGCTGTTCCCTCTTCCATAGTAATGAATTTCTCCTTAATATCAGTCTGTACCTTTTTTAAATTTTCCTCAGTTGATCGAGTCATGTTAAACAAAGATCTGTTCTCTTCCTGGAGCACTTCAAACTGATTCTGAAGAAGATTGTTGTCATTCTCAATTGTTTTTAAGCGTGCAACCTCTGCTCGTAAAGACTTTATCATATTTCTATTATCAAATCATATAGTGCCAAGGAAAATTACGAATCCCAGAAAGATCCATAGAGGTGGGGTGATAGACACCTCTTGTAAATCTCCCACATGGTACAATGAAAAAAACTGTTAAATTCTTGAATGGTAACTTGTTCAGACATTTTAATTATAAAAGAATTTTTTTTTACCTGCAACGACTGGTTCCTGCGGGTGGTGGTCTCTGTGGTTTTAGAGCCTGTCTTGGAACCACCTCTTGTAGACCAGGTTGGCCTCAAACTCACAGAGATCCTCCTGTCTCTGCCTCCTGAGTGTTGGGATTAAAGGCGTGCGCCACCACAGCCTGGCTGGCCTCGAACTCACAGAGATCCGCCTGCCTCTCTGGATATTATGGGCCTGAAAACCAAGTGTATCTCGGACTCAGTACTGGGGCCCGAGTCATGAACTAAGAAAACGACACCCAGGAGCGTGCTGTGTTAGCTAGCAGGCTATGCGCTTGAGTGGGGGGCAAAATAGCCTGACGTTGGATGCCAAAATGTAACAGCGTAAGCGAATGCAGACAGATTGTCAAAATATAGACAGCTTTAATGGAGGAATAGACTTACAGAACCACAGTTCCTGCAGAGACCAGGAAAGCAGAAGCACTCGCCAAATTTATAGGCAAACTTTAGCCTGAGGCGAACATGCCCCCTAAGGGGTGGGACTTATCCCTACAGCCTGCAATCACTTGTATTTCACAATGTACACTTTTCTATAGACAAAAAATCAAAACACTACACACAGGGGAAAAGGACTATTTAGAAAATATGCCACAATTATTTAGAAAAAAAGTTTTAGGTGGGGATAGATGTATGTCTTTATGAGGGGAAGAGAAACTGAGCTGTATGTGGTTAGGAACCAGACTATGAGACAGAGGACAAGTGATAGCATGTGTCAGCATGAGGACACAGTTGAGGAAGCACCCTGCAGGGTCAGCCTTGAAATTATTCTCATTGGATAATTTATAGGAATTTGAAACAGAGCATGCACCATGATATTACACTTGTGTATTTCAAATAACTGTGATAAATATCAAGCCAGAGAGACAAGGAGCCATTAAGCCCAGGTAAAAGAATAGCTGGTAATATCCACTGTACATCAGAGAAAAATGATTCAAGGATATTGAAAAATGATTATAAATTGCAATTAGAAAGAAGATCCAGAAGAATAGTTTTTAAACTATTTTCTCACAGTTTGCTAGAGATGCAGAGGTTAGACGTTATAGTTGACTTAGCCCCACAGGATGCAAAGATTTAGGATTTAATGATGCACCACCATGTCTAGAGGCATAGAATGGTGAGCTCTAAGGAAGTTCTAGAACCCTAGACTTCACATATCATGCAAAATAGGTAGGTGTATGCTCTCTCTCTCTCTCTCTCTCTCTCTCTATCTATCTATCTATCTATCTATCTATCTCTCTCTGTGTGTGTGTGTGTGTGTGTGCGTGTGTGTGTGTGTGTGTGTGTGTGTGTACCAAAAGTTGGGGTGTACAAAAGCCCAGAGGCCTTGCTGAGTGGAATCATGGAGCCGTCACCTGGGAGTTCAGCACTGAGTCAGAGCATTATCTCCCAAGGCTGAGTTGCAGGAAGGAACACCAGCGGTTGCAGCCAGGTTTTTTCAGACAGGGTTTCTCTGTCTCAAAACTTTGGAGCCTGTCCTGGCATTAGCTCTGTAGACCAGGCTGGCCTTGAACTCCCAAAGATAAGCCCACCTCTGCCTCCCAAGCACTAGGGCTATAGGTGTGCACCACCAGCGCCCAGCTGAGCTTTGTTCCAATAGAAAGCGCAAGTCAGTTGTGTGATGCTGATGAAGAAAAGTTGTGTTTTTCCAACTTTATGTTTTACTTTTTTCCATATTAATCTGCTTCTGAAAACCAAAATTAGATCCAAATAAGAATAGGAAAGTGGTTTAACTAAAACATTTTGCCTCTTCTTCAGTTCTTTGACTTTGTTTCTTCCAAAGAGTATCTCTCCTACTTCTACCCCAGTGGGAGGGACTCTCACTGGTTTTGATTTTCTTTTAATAACATGTTAAGATGTTTTAGAGATAAATAAAGCAAATGTCACATTAAAAATCAGACTGATTGTCACATAGAGTCCTTTGTGGGAGATGGTATCCCCTTTCATATGTGCACAATGAGAGACACCTTCGAATTTTCCTAGATAGTTGGGAATTAACTTTACAGTTTTATATTTAATTTTTGTAAATTCTTAGAGCAGTGTTGTAAACACACAGAATCCCTTGGTGCAAAAATTCCTGAAGTAAGGTAATTATTGTGTAACAAACAAAGAATTTATCCTGTTACCTTCAAAATAATTCTATGTTAAATTTGCAGCTGTAAATCTTTGCCTGAGTTGAGTCAAGATGTTATTCCCAGGTTTTAATGCTTTTTAAGTAGGCAAAGCTATAGGCAGACAATACCCTAGCTTGCTGTCTCTCGGCTGCAAACTTATCTGTGGCTGACTTACAGAGACCATTTACTCCCACTTTTTGAATATTTTTTCAAGGTCCATTCTCGGTGCCTGGATCCCGGTTTCCTAAAACGGAGATCATATACTGCCATTCCTCCTGTCTGCTGCAAACCCTGTCTTGTTTGCTCAGGAGGGTTAGGCACTGGGGATTAACCCCAGGGCCTACTGATGCTGCATGCAGGCTGTCTAACAGAGCTACAGCCCTGCCTCTACATCGTCACTCATTTCCTAATGTGCTAGCATGCCCCCGCATCCACTATGGAGCCCACAATATCAAAGAATTGACACCTACGAAGAGCACTCAGCCAACCATGATCTGGCTTTCACTTCCAAAATTCAGACTGCTCTGTCAATGTTATCTAACATTTCCAAATGTCCAGATCACAGGGACTTTTTCCAAGTCCCTTAACCTCTGCAAGGATGACATAATGTTGACTCTATTCTTCCCTTAAATTGTTGTGCTTCCTTAATGACACATTCCATGGCCTTTGGGTCCAATTACTGCCTCTTGAATGGTACTTTACTTTCCCAGGTCTCACTTCTTCCTAGCTAGTCCATTTGTTAGAACTTCAAAAAAACTATTTAATTGAGAAAATAATTTATTATCTATGTTTGTGAGGTATAACGTAAGTTTTGACACACACGCATATACACATATTGTAGAAATGTTGAAAACTGACTAACCAGTTGTGGTAGCTTAAATACAAATGGCCGCCATGAGGTCATATATTTGTACGCTTGATCCCTAGTTAGTGGAACTATTTGGAAAGAATAAGGAGATCTAGCCTTCCCGGTTAGCTCTCTGCCTCTTGTCCGGGCATCAGAATGTAGCTCTCAGCTTCTGCCATGCTCTGCATCATAATGACCATGAACTGACCCTCTGAAACTGTAATGAGGCCCCAGGTAAATGCTTTATTTTTCAAGTAGCTTTGATCATGATATCTCTTCACAGCAATAGAACAGAAACTAAGATACCGTCAAATCTGTATTATTATTATTATTTAATAGTGTTTTTTAAAATTTATTTTTCAAGACAGGGTTTCTTTGTGTTGCTATGACAGCCCTGGAACTCACTCTGTAGACCAGTCTGGCCTGGAATTTACAGAAATCCACCTGCCTCTGTCTCCTGAGTGCTGAGATTAAAGTAGTGTGACACCACGTCCAGCTTCCATATTATTTTTTATAATTAAATCTACTTAACTACATTTTATTAACTACAATATAGCTAAGTATACTAAGATATTTTGAATAGACATTAACTGTAGTCTCTGGGCTGTTTGATCACTAATTTTCCCTTCTGCCTAACTAGAACTTTGGTCATTTTGTTCAGTATATTGTTTTCTGTATCCCACACTCACCCACCAGTCTTTGAGGATCACAACTCTCTCTGCCTCTGTGTATTGACTTATTTTATACTCCACATACAAATGGAATCCTGCACTTGACTATCTGTGTCTGTTTTTTTCACTTAACATGATATTTTCCTGATCCATCCATAGTGACATAAATTTCAGGACTCCCTTATCTTAAAGGCCGAATAGTATTCCTTCGTATGTGCCTCCTGCCTTTGCCAGTTTGTCCTCTGATAGACACTTAAGGTGGTTCTATGTATTTACTCCTGTGAACAAACTTCCATGGGTCTGGGAGTCTCCCTTTGATTCTGTTACCTTTGGACATGTGCCTGGAAGTGAGGTCGCTTGAAAACCAGCCAGTTCTATTTCTAATTAGGGGGTACCTTCCTATTCCTTTCGATAACAGAAGGGCTCCCCTTCACTCCCTCCTTCAGAGCGGTCTGTCATCTCTGCCTGCAGGCATTCTGGCAGAGGTAAAATGTTGCATCCTTGGGATGCTTGCTTGCATTTCTCTGATGACTTTGGAACTTTTTCATTTCCCTCTCCTTTTGAAAAGGTTTACTCTTATTTTGTCTAAAAAGATTTACTCTTATTTTGTCTATTTTTACATTGGATCGTCTATTGATTTACTGATTTGAGTCTCTCATACATTTTTATTATTAACCCTTTGTCAGACACATTATTCAGAAGTACTATCTCTCAATGTGTAGCTGTCTGTCTTTTTCATGGACTGCTTCCTTGGTTATTCATACAGAAACTTCTGGTGTTGAGGAAATCCCATCTGCCCACTTCAGCTTTGCTTGCCTGAGCTTCTGAGTTTGTTTAATAAACAAAGCAACAAAGAAACCAAAATAAACTGAAATAAAAACCACAGACCAATGTCAGTGTCCCCATGCTTTTTTCCAGTAGTTTTACAGGTTCAGTACTTACATTTGTAACTCTTAAAAGTTGGCTATTTGGGGGCTGGAGAGATGGCTCAGTGGTTAAGAGCATTGCCTGCTCTTCTAAAGGTCCTGAGTTCAATTCCCAGCAACCACATGGTGGCTCACAACCATCTGTAATGAGGCCTGCAGGCATACACGCAGACAGAATATTGTATACATAGTAAATAAATAAATATTTTTTAAAAAAAAGTTGGCTATTTGTTGGATCTTCTGTGATTGTTAGTTGTTCATGTTACTCATTTTCAGAAGGTAGCTTTTATCTCCTGCAACTTTTACTGAGTGGTTTGAGTCTTTAGGGTTTTCTATGTAAGGTTTGGAACTCCACTTGCTCGCATGACTAATTCCCACCATGAAAACAACAAACAAATCAGAACAGAAACATCCTTATAAGGTTATTGTGTATGTCTTGGGGTTACTATTGCTATGATAAAACACCACGGCTACAAGCAAGCTGGGAATGAAAGTGTTTCTTTCCACATTCTAGTCTATTGCTGAAGGAAGTCAGGACAGTATCTCAAGCAGGGCTGGAACCTCGAGGCAGGAGCTGATGCAGAGACCATAGAAGGGTATTACCTACTTGATTGCTCACATGGCTTGTCAGCCTGCTTTCCTTTAGAACCCAGGACCACCAGCCCAGGGGCAATACCACCTGCAATGGTCTGAGCCCTCCCACATCAATCACTAATTAGGAAAATGCTCCACAGGCTTACCTACAGCTTGGAGTAATTTTCTTATTTGAGGCTCTCTCCTCTCCTCTCTGATGACTCCAGCTTGCATCAAGTTGACATTGAAACTAGCTGGAAGTGTGCAAAGTCAAAATGAATAAATAAAAGGAATATATATATATATATATATATATATAGTAGCAAACTCAATAGCAGGAACAATGGCACATTAACTGTAATCTTGGAACTCAGAAAGCTAAGGCAGGAGGATCGTGAATTCAAGGCAAACCTGGGATGTATAATAAGATCTTGCCTCAAAAAACAACCAACCAACCAAATGAACAAACAAACAAAAAGGCAACAACTTCCAGGATGAGTATTAGTTGTGTAATTCTCTGAAAGTCCTTTCACCATTCTTTTTCTTTCTTTCTGAAAAAAAAAAAAACCTCCTATACCATATATTCTGATCATGGTTTCCTCTCCCCCAACTCCTCCCAAGATCCTCCTCATCTCCCCACCAACCAACTCCATGCCTTTTTTTTCTCTCTCTCCAGAAAATAAAAGGCAAATAAAAGAACACCCCAGAATTAAAAAAGAAACACACACATACACCATAGACAAAAAATGTACAAAAACACAAAATCAGAAACCATATTACATAAACAATAGACCAATAAGACAAAAATTCCCTATGAAAGCAATGAGACAAAAAGTCTACAAAATTGAATTTGTTTTGTATTGGACATCTGCTACTGGGCTCGAAGCCTGATGAGTGTGGTTAATGCACCCAGTGAGCCTGTCACCATTCTTAAGGCAGGCATTCATTTCAGAGTCTCTTTTATTATTCTGCCTTCTGTGCTTGAAAGGAGGAAAGCCCCCCCCCCCCGCATTCTGAGGTGTACCTCTGAAATTAGCGCATGGTCTTCTTTGCATGCTAAGGCTTGGCCTAATCAACATGGTCTTCTTTGCATGGTCTTCTTTGCATGCTAAGGCTTGGCCTAATCAACATGTTTAGGCAAGAGGGTATCATAGCTCAGACCACACCCGTGGAGCTCGTGAGAAGAGGTCAGACTTGGGGTATGCTTTCAAAGTAGACCCAACAGGTTTTGTTCATAGCTTAAGTAAAGGCTATAACATAAAGAGAGGAGTCAAAGATATTCCACAATTTCCAGTTCAAACAACTGGGGAAATGAATTGGCTTCAGTGCAGATAAGGAAGCCATGGGATGTCAGAGTTTGTGTAGAAGGGTAGAGGCTTTAGTCTCGTCTATGTGAAATTGGAGGTGCCTTTTTTTTTGTATCTTAGTAGACATGTCAAGTAGTCAAAGAAGTATCTAAAAATTGGGTTTAATACTGGAAGCTTAAACTTTGAAGCTTTTTTAAACACAATGATGTTTCATACACACACACACACACCATCTCACACATATTTAAATAGTCTCATGGGATTGATCTTAAAAAGGACACAGAAAACCACAAAGACATTCAATGTCTAACCCAAGTGCAATGTGGCCAGTATACCTGTAGTAGCATCGGGACATGTTCCTTTGTGTCTGTGGAAACCTGTGGGACATTCTACATAAAGGAGTAAATTAACTTCCTGAATCTAATCAGAATTTCTGCTGAAGTCTATAAGTGTTAGATACAAGGAACCTAACAAATAAAGCTGAAGCAAAACAAAGATCTGGACCAATAGGGAAGGCTGAACCGGAGGGCTGCGACAGAAACAAGAACAATGGGAACAGAGAAACTAACACACTGAGCTGATGTTCAGATTGCTGAGTGGCCACTGTCTAGCAGACCCAAGGAATCAAAACAAACCAATCAACAGCGGGCAGTAGAAGCAGTGTACAGCCTAGGAGCACATAGGAACTAACAGTGCTTGGTGTTTCCAGGAGGACAGAGGGTGTGGGCTGAGTTATAACCCTACCCCAATCAGCAGCTGACTAGAGAGAGGAAAACAGCAATACTGGCAGTAGGGATTGTGTGCTACGTGTGGAAACTAAGACATCCCACGCCTGTGGAAGGGGAAGATGAATCTCCAGCCAGCAGTCATGAATCGGCTACCAAGTAAAAGCTGCATTCCAACTACCATCAAGTTAACGACTACCTGAAGAACACAAATGAGAAGCTCCAGAACCCTAGATCACTCTGGAGCAGAGCAGAATGCCAACCAGCCCAAATATCAGCTCAGAGTTGCAGTCATGCAGTGAATATGACAGAGACTGAAGTGGATGGAAATAAGCAGAGCATGAGAGAGGGAAGAGACAGTTCAGTTGTTAGCATCCTTAGTGTGAGCAAAAGCCATTGTCTCTATGAAGCTAGAAAAAGCTTCTGTTTTTGCTAAAAAAAAAAAAATATTCAGGACACAAAAAAATAATCAGAGCTGAAGAGTAAAGTTTAAGAAGCTGTCTCCCAAAAGTACAGCAAAATTATGAAGGCGTAAGCAGGAAAGGAAAGGAACACGGAACAAGTGCAGAGAGCAAAGGAGCCAGTGTCAGTGTACCGCAGAGACTGAGATGGGCAGGGACTCGGGAAATCCTGGAGAACTTTGGGAGGCGGCACATCTAGAGGAAGAAGGTCACTGGGAATATGTTCTTGGGTATTGTGTCTCATTCAAACCTTTAGTCTGTCTTCCTCCTATCTACCATAAGTTATGACATGTCTGTCCTATGCTTCCTTCACCATAATGATCAGCCTTGACCATGGTCCAGAAGCAACAGAGCCAAAGACTATGGACCAAAAATCATTTTCTTTACATTGTGGTGCTGGCATTTTGCCCTAGCAATAAAAGTCCAATATGATAATGACATTTAGAACACAGGTACAAAGAAAAAAGAATGATTCTATAACATCCAATTGAGACAGTGACATTACAGTCAAACCAAAAGAACAAAAAACAACTTCACAGCAATGGAATTGACATTGAAACAAGAAAATACCAAGTGTTGCCTGTATTTAAAATCCTAACACTTACCTATTGTTTAAACTCCTGTTTCCCATCTCAGAGAGATCAGTTCATTACTACTGTGTACTTCACGCCTCTGTTCACCAATGAAACATCCTTGGGATTAGGGACCAACTTAGAGGAAACTCACTTGAATAAGAATTTAATAGTCTATTTTTATCAATATAAAGATTGCTAAGTTTGGCATTTCAACTTGTAATTACTTTACAGGACATTATTGTCTTAATTTTCAATATAATTAGACTTACATTTCTTAGTTGGAAAAAGAAAATAGATCCCTGGCAAAGAATTCTAATCACTGTTTTAGTTTTTCTGTTTTAGTTTTTTGAGACAGGGTTTTACCTTATGGACCAGGCTGGCCTTGAATTCGTGGTCCTCTTACTTCAGTCTCTGGAGTGCTAGGGCTATAGTTAAGTACTATCAAACTCTGCAAAGTGTTAGTCTTTTTGCTTCACATCTTCCAGCTTCAGAAAACAGCCACACTGGGAAGACAGGATAAAATTATTTAGAATTGCATTTGTGAGTTCATGATACAGCACTTAGTGCTCAGTGTTGGATTTAATCCCCACATCCTATCAGGAAAGTACCTGGCAGATTCTAATCTTACTGGTAGCACAATGAGTCTTAGAGAGCAGCCCCAGGCCATGCACAGTTAGAAGAACTTAAAGCCAGCCTTCAAACTGAGACAACAGAGCCAGCATCAACTCAGACAAGCATTACATCGGCTATGGGACCATTTCCACCAAGAGTCTATGTCACTGGAATTTGATCTGTCCAATAGAATGCAATTCTAAATAACTTATCCTATCTTTCCTTTATATTTTTAGTCAAGAAGATATCTGTACAGCCATACTTTACACAACACAAAGACAATTTGAGGAGAAACTTGAAGGTATTTCAAATGCCAACACAAATGGAGTACATATAGGCTGCCAAAACCTCTTTCTCTACTGCGCAGCATGGAGCGGAGTTGCTTTATCCTCACCCAAGTAGCAATCAAACCATTCCCCATCCGTAGCGTTCCTACAAGGTCACTGTTTCTTGTATGGATCCCAGTTCTACTCCTTGCTATACAGATCCAGCAGGTTGACCTCACGTCTTAGTGTCTGGACACAAAGGCTTTCTGCTGAGACACCTGAACAAAGCAGTGTAGTGCCAGGCATGTTGGAGGACAGCTGTAATTCCAGCACTGGAGAGGCTGTGGCAGGAGGTTTTCAGTTTCAAGACCAGTCTGGGGTGCATAGATCTTTTCTCAACCCCAACTGCTGTGTGACTTTCCCCAGGGAAACATATTTACCCCAGAGAAGACATGGATGTCCAATCAGAGAAATGATTCCATTAAAGTCCAGTGTGAGACAATGGATTAACTGGGGCTCTTTATAAGAGCTTGGTAGGCTAAACAGCAGCTGCCTCCTCAGAAGGGTCATCCAACCTGGATGACGACTCATGAAAGCTGCACCTCTGGGGCTCAGCAAGACTTGCAGCACCCTCCACGGCAGGTCCAGACTTGAGGGGGATGTTTATGACTCTCACAGCTTTCTGCACTTTCTAAGCTTTGTAGTTTGATTGAGCTTCCTGAGTCATGAGCCCCTTTCTCTCTCTAGGAGAGAGGATTTCAACTGAAGGAAATAACTACATAACATTCGCTCTCCCTTACCCCAAAATTAGGGAGGAAAATCCCCAAAGCAAACTTACTCAAATGTGAGCAGATGGCTGAAGAGGAAGGACACCAGTTCAACAAAAGTGGCATTTACTTTCAACTTGTAAATGTACATCTCAGGTCACATAAACATATACTTAGTCTACTTTCTGTTACTATAATAAAACATCACAGACAGAGTAACTTATAAAGAATAATTATGAAGGTTGGAAAATTCCATATTGGGAAACAGAATTTGGTGAAGCTGGTCTTGCTGGTGAGGACTGTCAGCAGAGCCCCAAGGCAAAGAGGACATCACATGGTAAGACAAAGACCCTTAACTCAGGTCACTCCTCTACTCATAAAGCCACAGTCCCATTGGATTAGGGCCACACCCGTATGGCCTCATTTAACCTTAATTACCTCCTGCCTCTAAATACCATGGATTAAATTTCTACCCTTTTAATGCCTCACCATAAGGATTACTTTTCAACACGAGTTTTGGAGCAGACATTCAATCCATAGTACATGGCGTGCTCCTTTGTCAGCTGTGGAAAAACAGACGCCAGGGAAGAGCAGGGTCCACAATCCTCTCTACAACAGCCAAACAGAAGCAACATTTCCATTTCTGTCCCAGCCTGCAACAGAACAATGTCTCGTGAAGACCCTAGTTCGGGTACAGTGTCATCTGAATTGAATTAGCCAGGCTCAGAGTCTGACTGTGGTGGAGCTTTGGCTGAAACAGCAGCTAAGCCCAGGCTGGATGAATAGCCACTTTGCAAGCAGAGGTGGTCATTAATGTGCCATGTCCTCAACAGAAAAAGAGTCAAATCAGCTCTGGACACTCGGGATCCTGCTGGAAAATCCTGTGCCGTGTGTATACACAGGTACTTTGGATCTCACCCAGCTGTAATTAAACCCCCCCTTTTTTTTCCAGATTCTCCTCATCCAAACAATGTGGAGTAACACTACAAGAAAGTGCGTTATCACTCAAATGAGTCCATATGTTTCATACAACTGAAATGCAGCATAAAGCCATGAACTGTTAAATACGAAAGTAAAATTGGATGCAGGCACTGGTTGGTTCCCAAGCTACCGAAGTCTCACCTTTCAAGAGATGTGAGCCACAGGTCACAGTTGTATACTCAGGGCACAGCCTCAAGATCAAAGCCTTCTGCACTGAAGGAAGTGTTCGCAGTCCTCCACGCCAATCCACAAGCCACCCATTGTGCCCTCCCATGTCCTTGTTCAGGCCAAGCTGTAAAACGTTATGTGTTTGAATGATGTTTAAAAGTGCTCTGTGCAATTAAGTTTTAAAGCAAAGAGGCTGCTTTTCTTTCGGTGTATATATGAAACTCCCCATAAATGTAAAGTCCTTGGGTGTGTTTGGGGGAGGGCATGATTAAAAAGAGCAAAGCTTTTGAAAGGAACAAACACTTCAAAAAGTGAAACCCGAGGTGTTTTTCCCCCCTCATAATATTAAAAATGCCTTTATAGTTGGAAAAAGTCGGTAGATCAAAAATACATATAGCAAAAAGAGCTATACGGACTCCATGTTCACTCATGCCCAATTTGCATCTGCTCTCCAAGGGAAACCCCTGCTTTTTAAGTATAATTATCACGAAAGATTGTAAACTGCCTTCTCCTGGCGCTCTGGCCTCGTGATGTGAGAACAGGCACTGCTCTTTGTTAACGGTTGGCTCACCAAATCCAGGGCAAAGTTGCTGGCTTGTGGCTACTTATCCTAACTTTAAAGCATTCCTCCCAAGAGGGTTTGTTTGTGAAGCTCTTAGAAAAATGAAAACATAGGCCAGAGACTGATTCCAAACCAAGGCATGTACATGGGTCCACATTGTTCACATGGAAGCTTGTGGGAAGAACAGGTCCTTGCTCAGTCTGTAAAACAGTCTGGGCCCAGCCAGCATGTCTCACACAGCAAGACATGTTACCACTGACAATAGAGTACAATTAGGTTCCAGGAAAACAGTGGATTCAGACTGTACAGCTAAACCAAACGGATCCTTCGAGCACCTCTTAGATATCAATCAGGGCACTGCCGAGTGGCCTAGTGGTTAGGATGCAGCCCTCTCTCAAATACCAGGATGTTCATATCCTTAGTACAGAGAAAATTCTGAACTTGCCACTCTATGCTCTTGTTTGAGAATGTTCCTAGCTTAGTAAAATGAACAGTGCAGGCTATTTTTATTGGTAAAGTCACGGTGTGCCTGGCACATAGCAACGTGGTAACTAATAAAACCATTCACATTATGCAAACATTAGGTCACCTATAGATCTGGTGCCAGAGAGACATGCAAGGTAAATTTAAGGAAGCACAGCCCACCACATGCACCATGTTTTTCCTCGTTAACTCTGATTTTTAGAGAGAGAGAGACAAAGGATAGCAACAGGCATTGTCTTTGTCTTTAGGCACTGTCTACTTTGTTTTTGAGACAGAGCCTCTAACTGGGCTGGAACTTGCCAAATAGGAGTAAGTCAGGTTGACTGACTATTGAGCCCCAGGGATCCCACTGTCCCTACCTCCCCAGTGCTGGGAGTACATGTCCAACTCTTCAAAACACAAAACATAAATAAACAAAAAACCCAGGTTCAGGTGACTGAGCTCAGATTTATATGCAAGGCAAGCACTTTACTGCTCGAGCTATCCCAGTCTGGGTTAGACTTTTAAAACAGTAGTTTATGAAGTTCTGTTGGCCAACTTTTAGCAAAAATATCAGTATGCATTCTTCCTGGATATAGAGCTAAGTGGCATGCTTTATGTAAGAATTTAGGCAAACTGAATTGCCTAAAGAGAAGCAGTCACCCTGATGCATTGTTGGCTATAAAAAAAAATTTACTCAGTGTCCCATGAAGAGTACTAGCCTGGATGAGACAACTAACATAAAGTTTGTGAATGGGCAGATTCTCACCTTCCAAACCTTTTAAAGGAGCCTCCCTCACAATTCATTGGTTTCTTTAGTGTGGAATTGTGTAACTGGTGTTCAGGGTTTGGAAATAAACACAGTTGATTCTTGAGAGCCCAAAGGGACTACAGACAACAATGTGGGCTGAAGGAGGAGAAGCTAAATGTGTGTTTGATTCTGACAGGCATCAGATCAAGGGTTTCCTTTCCAAGGGAGCCTGGCAAGGAAGCAACGGCAGATGCCCAGAGAAGCCTGGGTCATGGGATTCGATAGCAGGATCCTGGAACAAGTGCTGAGAAGAGCCAGACTAAACTAAGGGCCAAAATTCCTTCTTTCTCTTTCCTCCCTAATCGACCAGGGCTAGCCTCCAGCAAATCAAGCAGTCCTGGAAGTGGGTGAAGTAATCACCAAATGAATACCATTTACAGAACTCTAGCTCTGGGCTGGGCACTGGCTGTGCTGAGCAAATATGTTATCTTCAAAGTGCTTGGTGGTCCAGTCCTGACTGGAAGTACAGTCTGCAAAGAAGCCAGATAACTAAGAAACAAATGAAAGCCCCTTTCCTCCCTTCCTCCCTCCTTCCTTCTCCTTCCTTTCTTTCTTCCTCTTTTCCTTCCACCTTCCCTCCCTCCTTCATCCTTCTTCTTTCCTTCCTTCCTTCCTTCCTTCCTTCCTTCCTTCCTTCTTCTTCTTCCTTCTTTCTTCCCACTCCCTCCTTCCCTTTCTAGGTCCTGGGGCTCAAGCTCAAAACATCAGGCCTTTACCCTCTGAGTCATATAATCTACCCAAACCACATTTAAATGAAGATGGAAAGAACCATTAGGAAGAAAGAGGTTACAGAAATGGGGCATTTGATAGCAAAATATCCTAAAGAGAAGGAACTGAATAAAGAATAGAAGTGTAACAAAGGCCTTGGAACATGGGACAGACCTGTGCCCTGACTGGAGCGGAGGCGGCAGCGTTGTGATGAGGTACCGCTCGGGCTGTAGTTTGAAGAGCTGCTCCTACGTCGTGGCTTCTGTGGAGTGTCAGAGTTCACCTAGGTCATATGTTGAGACTGTGGCTGCTAGGTGGCATGGGAGATTGAAGAATGAAGACCCGAAATAGACTCTGAGAAGCATGATAAAGGGAACCAAGTAGAGAAAAAGACAGGTTTAGCTTGCTAGGCAGTGGAAGAACCCACCGTGGTTGGATTTACAGAGGATTTGTTTGTCTTACTGTTTATATACTACCTCCTGCCAGGCTTGGACACAATTGATCATTCTGGAGTGAAAGCTGGCTATGTGAAAAACTGACTTTCCTGAGTGACTGTCATGTCAGGAATTTTAAGAAGCTAATAAAAGAATGACTGCAGAGCCTGCCTGTGGAAACCAAGCCAAAGAGCATGGACTATTGAGACCCAGAGGCCAGTGTTCGTGATGGAAACAAGCTGCTGTTAGGGAACTGCCATGTCATAATGGAAGACTCCGCAGCCAGAGAGCCGGAGTGTGACGCAAGAGATGGGGGGCTAAAGAGATGTCAAGGAACAGAGAGGTCAGATGACCTTCAATACTCCAGTTTGTTCCAGATGTCCTTATATACAATCTGCAAATTTTTTACATATTTTTAATTCTCATAAGGCATAAATCCACCTGGGTTGGTGCTTACGGATGGTGCGAGAGTACTTTTATTTTCGTTTTGCGTAACCAGTGTTTCTTGCACCATGCGATTCTATATTTCTTCCCTAAATGGCCATTAAATTAGTTCCTTCTTTGTTGCACTTCCCCTTTTCACTCCTTGTCTCCTCTGAAGTAAGCCATACCCTTGAGCACCCTCTCCCTGTAGTCCACAGTCTGAACACTGCCATGAAAGGAAACTTTCTAAAATACAGACGTGGCCGTGTCACTCCCCTAATTAAAATGATTAAAATGATTGAATAATTTCTTTTGTGAGAATACAATCCAGAATCACAAGTGTGGCATAGGTAGCCCGTCCCACAATGCTTCTTCTTTTGATAGTCTTTGCTGATAGAGTCATCTTCATTTCCTGGCATTATCCACATTTGTATTCCAGTACTTCTGTGTAGAAAATCTAGAATCTAATTAACTTTTAAAACGTCTTACTGAGTTATATCTGCTAGCTTTAAGAAGTTCTAGTTGGTTTATTTGGCATTTACTTGGCATCTGATCTCTATACGCACTATGTTGATATCATAAATTTCCTTATGTGTTTACAGTCTAGCAGACAGAAAACAGGGACCGATAGCTATGGGAAGGCTAAGCACCCAAGTGTTGTAGACACTTGAGTCAACTGCCACAGCCCCAAGTGGCAGGAATGGCTCTTTGCTTGATGGAAATCAGTTGTGGCTTTGTGGGATAGTTGTGTGGATACAGAAGAAAATAAACTTCTTTAAAAGTGAATAAAAGTTACAAAGTCACAGAAGAAGGTGAGAGGGCACTTTAAGTAGAGGAGTGGCATCAGTTAAGGCAAAGCAAGTGGGGGAATGGGACCTTGCTGTCTATGCTGAAGCAGGAGAAAGACAAATGCTGGGGTAGAGTACACAAACTTCTTGGCATTGGGGGCAGTCTATTGAGGGACTGAGGAATTAGGAAATCACTCTCTTAGGTGAACCAAACTTTAAACTCAGGGATATTGAGTATAAGAAGATGTGCCAGGTATCTAAAGATAATAGGCTGCTGGTTTGTGGAAAGGCTAAAAGCTTGCCAGAGAGACACCAGAAGGAGACCTATTGCACTGAAGCGGTAAGAACATGCGAGGAATTCCGGTCCTGTGTAAGCCTGTGCATTCACGTGAATGGGGTTTCTCATACATGTGTTGCTTTTGTGCATGTCTCTACAAGTGTGCATGTGTGTGGGGTGAGTGTGTATGTCTCTGTGTGTGGCTGCCGAGGGCAGAGAAGTATGTCTGCCCTCCTGTTTCATTACCCTCAGCCTATTCCTTTGAAACAGGGTCTCCCACTGAACATGGAACTCACCGTTTCAATGCTGCTATCTGCTGCCCACTATTGAGATTATAGGCACAAGAGGCCATGCCTAGCTTTTACATGGGTTCTGGAGATCCACATTTGGGTCCTCATGGTTACACAGTAAGAATTCTTACCCACAGAGCTGTCTACCTAGCCCCTCTGTTGCTTCTTTAAAATGCATGCTGTTTTAACTTATTTCTATAGCCTAGCTATGTCTTTGGATTAATGGTTTTCTTCTTTTCTCTCCTCCCACTTGGTGTGTGACAGCTTCTATTGGATATGGTCGGGTCCCCAGACCAGGATCTCCAGGAAGCTGCTGCCGGCTGTATATCTAATATCCGCAGATTGGCTCTGGCTACAGAAAAGGCGAGATATACTTGAAATGTGAATCCACACAAACTACCAAATAACAAGGTCATACCACTCCCTCTGTCAGGAAGACAGAGTCAAGAAGCATTTATTAACCAGTCCTTCAAACAGTCTAAACAAAAACCACATAGACTAAGACAGAAATATTTTTCCTTTAAAATCACAAGAATCTTTTTCTTCTATTTTATGAAAAGTAAATATGTAATGAAATATAAAACCAATAAATTTGTGATAATTTTCCAAGAATTTGAGGATAAATGTATACATTATTTATATAGTTCAACTCCACTTTTGCATCGGCAATGATTTTAATAAAAACTATAGCTTTTCTCCAGTGTGCGGTTCCAGACGCACCCGTGAATGCCTTCAGAATGCCTCTTCTGCTAAATCGATCTGGCTGTCCTGTGCTGACGGCTCGGTCTGCTTGATCGCTTGCAAACCACAGGAGAGTTCTGAGGAGATGTGCTGATTTCACAAATGATTATTAAATAGAATTCAGCCTAAGCAGCTGCTCTTAGCAAGAGCATTCTGAGGTCATCCCAAACTTCTCCTGTACCATCAAAGACCCAAGACAATAATGTACAACTGTCACCACATGGCGACGTGCAAACCACAAGGACAAGGGGTCCTTTCACTTTGGGACACACCGAGTGTAAATGACGATATGTTTCATCTTCTTCAGAGAGAATCACCAACGGTTTTATTGAAATTAATTTATGCTGATGTAAAGACAATATTACTGCACATCCAATCACTCTGAATTTCTGAACGGATTTCTAGCACATGAAGTACTTTTTAAAAAGTGGTTACAAAGGATTAGTCGCCCTCTATCAGGCTAAGAAACATTAGAACACACTTTTAAAAATCACTATGTAACTTCTGTGTTCTGAAATGTTTGGGAACTAACTGTCCCAACCATCTAACGTTCACCAGAAAAACAGCTTCGTTTGTGTCATCTCGGAGAGCCAAGGATCTCCCTCAGAGAATGCTTTAGCGAGCGGGCAAGGTCATTTTATTGAAGAAATACTAGACACCGTATATGTCATCCTTTGGAGAAAAGCATAAACTTAACTGAATTCAATGTAAATAATTTGTACAAAATGAAAAAGCCTGTGCGAGATGAGCAATGGCAGAGGTTCTGGTAAAAAGGCCAGTGCTTCTGGGATTTCTAAAGTCTCATAAAACACCCATTTTCTTTTCTGCTTTTGAAGGAGAATATAAATGAGAATACTGCAAAGAAGGAAGCAGCATTAATTCTAAGGATTAACTTTAAAGAGTAAAGCGTGCCTGTCAAGTTCCAGTTAGATATTTCTAAAGGTTTCACAGTAACCACTTCTGTTTGACAGCTTTAACAATCACCTCTGGGCAGTGGGCTGTGATAACTACAGGAAATGAATGATCGTTAGGTTGTTACTGCAGTGACCTCAGAAGTTCACCATCAGCTTCGGATCTTAAAATATTCTTGTGTCTCTGGAATCGAAGGGAAGCAAGATAAAAAAAAATGATGAAGGGAGGGGACGTGTGAATACTGACAGGAGGATTGCGTTTTATGGTGCTCATAGCTTTTGTTTTTATGGTTAACAAATGCATAAATTAAAAGCAATACAGCCATTTTAAAGACGCCACACACTTAGAAATGGATAAAAGCAGAATTCAGATTTTCTTAGGTGTTTTCTAAGTAAACAAATCACCAGCAGTGTAGTGCCTTTCAGAATATGATGTTGATCTCAAAGGCCAATGTTGGGCTTACTTTGTGAAATGGAGTTATAGAAAATGCTGGTCTTACTAGAAAAATGTCAAAGCCTGCAAAGCACCGTCAGTTTTCAGATGAGTGGATGAGGCTGATCAGCCCCTCCCCTGGTCAGCAAGTATATGCAGTGAAAATACTTATAGATTTGATTTTTCCTTCTATGTATGAGGGTTTTGTGATATTTATTTTGTGCTAGTGAAGACTTTAATTCTCTGTGTTTTTTATGATGAGTTTCTTTTTTAGGCTTTATTTTAACAGTATGTATAGAGAACACAATACGCCCTCTGGCCTCTTCAGTTTGGAAGGGGTTTAAGGTGGAAGAAATTTTAATTGGATTTCCTTTGGGAAACCGTAGCCATGATCTTCCACCTTTCCCAGTCATAATTTACTGTTATCGGAATGACTTGTGCTAAAAATAATTTGTTTCTTTTTAAACATTTTCTGTGTTCTAAAAATGAATTGACAGTTCTCTTAGGGCACGGCATCTTGAGTTCTCCTTCCTCGTAGACTGGTGTTACTGATGTATATCTAAAGCATTCATACAGAACTGAGAGATTATGATTTAAAAATACATGGACAATGCATTTCCACTTAAGAAGGATCTTGGTTGTTTAAAGGAGCAAAGAAGTCCTTTTTCCCCTTTACTTGATGTATTAGGTCAATAAGATAAAATTTCCCAGTCCAAATAGTTTAAACTGCTTACTCTAATTTCATTCCATGAAAATTTGGGATTGGAATAACCTATGCTCATTACTGCAATTCATATTAAGAAAATCATGTGTTAAACACTTCACTACTTCAAATTCAACAAACATTCTCAAACTAATGGTCCAAGTGTACTGAAGAGTAAAAACAGCAGTCTCTTTCTAAATGAGAATAAGAACTAGAAAGTGTTGGTTCTGCTCTGGTGCTACTATATTCAGGTACAGTATTAGATATTTAACCTATATTGCATAATTTATTTCTTTCATGGTGGGGTATGTACCGTGATGGAGATATGGAGGTTGGAGGCACCTGTGAAGCGTCTTGGGAAATGTACTTTAGCCATCAGGTCAAGCAGCATGCACCTTTACCTCTTGAGCCAGTATTTCAGTATTGGGTTCTTTTAATCTTGATTAACATGCAGGAGAACCAATAAAATAGATTCCTTATATCTCAGTGGAAGTGTCTATCAAAACAAGAACACCCAGTAAGGCATTCCAAGACTTTAAAATTCTCTGTGTTTTGCTCTGCCACATGGTGCCACCATCATGTTCTGCCTTCTTAGAGGCCTAAAGCACGGGGACCGATTGATAATGGCCTACAACTAACAAGGTAAACCTTTCCTCTTTAAAATTTAATTTTTTCTAGATACTTGTTGTAGTGCTGGAATGTTGACTAGCAAGCTAGGTATACAATAAAAAGGTAGTTATATGATAACAAGCTAGGTACATGGTAACAGAAATGCTGAGAAGCTTTGGTTCCTTCTTGTGCAGTCCAACCACACACTGAAAGTGTGTCTATGAGTAATAATCCCATAGGAAGTTTTTCAAAATATATTATTAAATTTCAAAGCAGGATCTGAAGCAGTATATATACTGTGAGGAGTTTTGTTTGTTTGATTGATTGATTTTAAGTCATGAGCCTAAGATAATGCTCAGTGGGTAAAGGTGCTTGCTACGAAGCCTGATGACCCCAGTTTACTACTAGGGACCCACATGGTGGAAGAAGAAAACTGAGTCTCATAAGTTGTCCTTTGACCTCCACATATTCATTGTGGCAGGATTCTCCCCACTTTCCCCACACACAATCATGCACAATGAACAAAAAGGTTCTATTCTGTTTTTACAAGATTTTAGAAATGACGGAGGGCTGACTGGGCTAGGAGGGAGATTCACATACATATACAAAACTGCCAGATAACAAAATTAATAAACATTATATAAGTGTATCTATTTAGTCACAAAGAGAAAAGACCTTGAAATTTATACAGCAAATTATAAACCAGTGAGCATCCTACATGGTAGACAGAACTGATTTGTTTCCTGTTTAGTGTGTGTGTGTGTGTGTGTGTGTGTGTGTGTGTGTGTGTGCGCGCACGCGCGCGTGTAGGTGCCTGAGGAGGCCCAAAGAGGGTGTTAGCTCTCTTGGACCTGGCAGGAGTTGAAGGTGGCTGTGAACAGCCCTGCGTGAATGCCGAAAACTGAACTGGAATCCTCTAGAAGAGTAGCAAGCACTCTTAATGGCTGGGCCATTTCTTCAGTCACTGAACATCAACTTCAAAGGGGATAGCCTGAATTTACAAACAAAATATAGAATATATACATAAAATAATTGTTTTTTTCTGATAATTTTTGAGAATTTTACATGAGTACTTGTATGCATTATGTATTTACATCATTTCTACTCTCATTCCTCCCACCCAGCTCCTCTGGTACCCTCCCAACTCCATCCTCTCTCAAAACAATGACCCTTCTTTCATTATATANTTTAATATGAAATATTAATGTATGGAAACATAATTCATATTTAGCATTGGATATGATTTAAATTATTAAATAATTTATATTATTTAATTAACAACACAGCATCATGACTACTTCTACTGCTACTCATATGTACATGTGTTTAGGGACTGGATAACCTACTCTGGAAGAAACCTGACTCTCCCTCTCTCAGAAGCCACTAATTGCCTGTAAAAAGAATTGAGATGTTGAAAATAGTAACTTTACCATGTGTGAAATTCTAAAAAAAAAAAAAAAAACCTGTAAATAAATAAAAGATCTCTCTCTCTCTCTCTCTCTCTCTCTCTCTCTCTCTCTCTCTCTCTCTCTCTTTCTCTCTCTTTGTGTGTGTGTGTGTTTCACTAATCATGTCATGTTTAGCTTTTAAAAATATTTTAATGGCCGGGTGTTGGTGACACACGCCTTTAATCCCAGCATGCGTGAGACAGAAACAGGCAGATTTCTGTGAGTTCAAGGCCAGCATGGTCTATAGAGTGAGTTCCAGGACAGGCTCTAAAGCTTCATAGAGAAACTCTGTCTCGAAGAGAACCAAAAAAATAATTTTATGAATTCTTTAAGGATTTCATATATTTGTATCATATTCACCCCATCTCCTCCCCTTACCACTTCCCAGATCTACCCTAAACATTGTGCTCTTTTATTCTAATCTATGATCCAATAAGTCCAATTTGTGCTGTTCATATACCTCTGGGTATGGAGACATTCCCTGGAGCTAGCTACAAAACACCCATTTGGAAGAGTTTTAAATCCCAAAACTGGCTTAGTGCAACTAAGACATCCCAAAGTGGTCAGACTGTTAATTTTGCCATTTATTTGTCTTATAGTTAAACTTAGGTATTCACATTCATTCTGTAATAAAAGGCTGCAGGAGGCTGGAGAGATGGCTCAGAGGTTAAGAGCATTGCCTGCTCTTCCAAAGGTCCTGAGTTCAATTCCCAGCAACCACATGGTGGCTCACAACCATCTGTAACAAGATCTGGTGCCCTCTTCTGGCCTGCAGGCATACACACAGATAGAATATTGTATACATAATAAATAAATAAATAAATATTTAAAAAAAATAAAAGGCTGCAGGTCCCCAGTGTCAGGTCCTGGGCAGGGAGCCAGGTGGGTGAGAAACAGAGACAAGGATAGGCATGCTATGCAGAGTGAGGTTGGATATTTATTTTGTGTGTTATGGAGGGGAGGGGAAAGAGAAAAGAGATGAAGAGGAAAGAACAAAGAGAGAGAGAGAGAGAGAGAGAGAGAGAGAGAGAGAGAGAGAGAGAGAGAGAGAGAGAGAGAGATGTAGTAAGAGGTGCGGGCTGCTTTTCGTACTGCCTGGCTCCCAGCCACCCAAAATAATCACATGGAGATCTGTATTAATAAAATTGCTGCCTGTCCCATTAGCTCTAGCCTCTTTTTGGCTAACTCTCACATCGTGATTCAACCCATTTCTAATAATCTGTATGTCACCATGAGGCCGTGGCTTACCGGGAAAGATTCAGCATGTCTGACCTGGCAGCTACATGGCGGGCAGCTCTCTCTCACTCTGCTTTCTTCCTCTCAGAATTCTGTTCTGGCTTCCCCACCTACCTGAGTTCACCCTATCAACTAGGCCAAGGCAGTCTCTTTATTTAACCAATGAAAATAACACATAGACAAAAGACCCTCCTACACCAAAGAGGTGGGGGGGAGAAGGGGGCAGAGGAGGGGAGCCATGGCAGCAGCTGCCTCTTTGGGAGAGAAACAGAAAGGAAAAGAGCTCAGACTGGAAGCCAAAGGAAGATCTGCCTGCCTCAGCAGTGGGCAGGGGAGAGAGTGGGAGGGGTTTGTCTCTTAAAGAGACAGGACAAACCATTGCAAGTTCATTCACTTTCTGTCTCTCTGTCTACCTCTTGTATCCCAGGTTACCTCAGATTTACTATCTAGCTGAGGGTGACTTTGAACCTCTAAACCTCCTTGCTCCATTTTCCTTATGCTGAGATTATGAGCATGCAACCACATCCAGTGTGTGTGATGCTGGGGACTGAACCACAGGTTTCGTGGATGCTAAGTCAGCAAGCCTTCGTGGATGCTAAGTCAGCACACCTGCCAAGAAAGCTACACATCCATCCCTGAACTCTATTTTACTATCGTAGAAGAATGTAATTGTGAAATAACAAGAAGGATCCCTGATAGATCACTCATACAATGTAGTTGTTTTGGTCAATAGAAAATGATTTTGACTGATTTTGTTTATTCTGTAGATATCCAAGATGAACAATATTATGTTGACCTCTTTAAATATTCTATTTATGTACATTATCAACCAAAATATACAGACTATCGAACATATCTAGTAAGGCCCGAAGACTCCATCTTCCTTTAAGATATGGTGGGTTTGCTTTCCACTGCTTCATTATGCTCAAATTGCTTCCTCAATCCCCTCTCGTCCCAACTTTTGTTTCCTCCTCTCTGACCTCTGCATCTCATTTCCATTCTCATTTTCTCTGACAAAAGACTTCTCCAGTTCTAAAAGTATTTTATGTTTTATTTTGTGTAATTGAGAAATGTAAAATCAATATTTCAATTTTGTTTCTGTTGTAATCACCACAGCTGATTGGAAATCACAAGCAAGATGAACTTCTTGTGTTCCTGATCCACTATTTTCAAAGTTCCAAATAAAACCAACACATTCTTTAGTGAATCTGTCAGGACAAACATGAGCTATTCTCTCTCCACTTCATACCATCTTAACCTGTTAGCTGCAAAGAGACATACTTTTAGTATATTAGGACGGCTTGTGTAGACTTTAAGGCTCTAAAGGCTTATCCTGGCTATCTTATCCATAAGGATTACTTCATAAATGTATGTTTGTGGATGTGTGGAAGAGAACTGATGCTGAGCGGTGGTGGCGCACACCTTTAATCCAATTCAAGGCCAGCATAGTCTATAAGAGCTAGTTTCAGGACAGGCTCCCAAGCTACAGAAAATCCCTGTCTCAAAAATAAAACAAACAAAAAAGGGGGAAAAAGCAACTCTTAATTACTCTAGAAAAAAGACTGGTTGAGGCCAAAAGATATGTTAGCAATTACGGGCTTCAGCATCTACCAGAACGAGATTCAGCAAGTAATCCAAATCAGAGAAAGGCAGTAAGAAGGTAGGTTTTGGTTTTGTTCCTTGTTGGTTTTTTTTTTTTTTTTATAATACTGCTATGATGCCAAATGGCTTTCATCCTCCATGTCTGGGAGAACAAAGAGGTAGAGATTTTGGAGACTGGAGAAGACAAATAAATGGCTTCTCCCTGTCAGCCTGCTGTTACTGTTATTCAAGAGAAATTCACATTCAAATATAAAATGTATCCGATATATTGGCTTTCTGGTTCCCAGTGCTCATAGAAGGTAGAATGCATAGAATTTGTCCTATTATTTCTAGCTTATTTTATCCAGCAGAATGAATTACAGATTCTCCCATATTGTAACATGTGTGCAAATTTTCTTCTAATACAAAGCTGAGTAATATCCCAGTGTGTGCATAAAACACATTTTGTTTACTTCTTTGTCTATTGATGATCTCAGTGGCTGGTCCCAGCATTTGGGCTATTGTGAATGGCTGTACATAAATACACAATTGTCTATTCAGGACCCAGCTTCATAGTCTTTTGGTTATATACCAGAATTTCAACTGCAGTTTGGAAATGTTGCTAGTGCATAGTTGGCTGGGCCAAGCGTTTCCAGGTTCCTAATGCCTTTTTCAAAGAATTGATGTGCACAGATTACAAAGCACAAAGAACTTATCCAAAAGAAAAGTGATAGCACAGATCAGATGCACTGCAAGAGCCTCCTGATGAGGTCCACGAAGAGAAGAAGTTGGTTGCAAACATGCATGATATAGGTGGGTCTCTTTTGATTGGCAGGTTTGGGTTGCATAAGTCTTTACTGAGTATGTCCTTTCCCATGGTGCATGTGATTTTAATCATATGCACATACAATTACACACAGACATAAGATGGTCAACAGAGAAAATATGGCATTTTCCCTGAAAGTTCACTTAGAGAAACAGTTGCCTAACTGCTATGCACCCACACTGGCTCAGGCTGAATTATTACCCTTAGTTCCTGGATATGTTGCAGGATGTTTTGAGCTGAAAAGGGACATTAAGAAAAAGTTTCTAAGGGAGGAGCTGCCTTTTACATTGTTAGAAGTAGAGTGTACAGGCAGCTTGATGCAGGTAAAGGTATCAGGCTAATAAATGCATTGTTAGTAGGTGTGGCAGTAGTAGTAGTAGGTAGGGGGTGGTATAACCTAAGTCAAATGAAATCTCATGTTACTAAACTACACCTGTGCTTGCCTGTGTCTGGAATAGTATTTTTTAAAATGAGCTATTCAAATCTACAATAAAAAAAAGATACTTTGGCCGGGCGATGGTGGCGCACGCCTTTAATCCCAGCACTCGGGAGGCAGAGGAAGGCGGATCTCTGTGAGTTCGAGACCAGCCTGGTCTACAGAGCTAGTTCCAGGACAGGCTCCAAAGCTACAGAGAAACCCTGTCTCGAAAAAAAAAAATTAGTAAAAAAAAG